GTACTATATATCGTTGATAATTTTCACAGTCAATCAAACCCACCTTAAGCACCAATCAAATAGCTATCTTTCATTCCTTAAATTGCTTCCATGTTCTCTGCGTCCTTTTCAAGCCCAAAAAGAGGACTTCGAGAACGTAAAAAGAGGAAAATCTACTGACTGAAGACGCCACGAGCCACGAGGAGAACAACAAATTAGACGAGCGTGGCTGCTAAGTCAATCAATGAGCGTGCTTCCTCCAGGGAGGGGAAAATATTTTACAATTCTTTAATAGAGTGGGGTGCGGTCCACTGGTAAAGTCACATGACACGCCTATGTCTCTTCATCCACCATACTTTCCAAAGCGTGAAGAGTTTTTGCGAGTTTTTACTGTTGCATCATGAATCGAAGTTTTCTATTGTAGCTGATTGCATGTAAACAGTTTATAGCTCCACTTGGAAGAAAAAACTCCAAAATGATCAGTCTGGAATTTTCTAACCACATCAAAACCTTCGATTTCAAAAGTAATCGAAGCCAAGTGCAACGCGAAGCGATCGAAGCTGTGATCGCGGGACAGTCGTTGTCTTCCCTGTTTGAACGTCAAGGGCTAAACTTCGAGGAACGTAAACAACTTGTGAAGACAAAACTTGGGTATCCCCACAGGGGGGAAGAATGCACTCTCTTCCTGCTGGCTGTTATTTGTGGACACGTGGAAATCGTAAGAAATATGGTCGAAGAACGGCTGGTCGACATTGAACAACAAAAAACCGTCTTAGTTGGCGTCCATGCGGAGAAAAATGAAGTTCCGTACGGCTTTGGTTATGAGGTCGGTGAAGGAGTGACAGCCCTGTGGTGTGCTGCTGCATGGTGCAAACTTGATCTAGTGAAGTTGTTGGTATCCTATGGTGCAAATGTCAATCACAAGTCCAAGGGTGGATCTAGTCCACTATTCATGGCATGTCAGTATTTCCATTCTGACAGATCACGACATGTGCTTCTTGGTAAACCTGATGTACCCATCCAACTGGAACTTGTCAAGTACCTTGTGGAAAATGGGGCTGATGTCAGGGATTGTGGTCGAAGCGGCGATACCCCTCTCATAGCAGCAGCTTTGTCTGGATATAAAGACCCATCACTGATGGCATTCTTGCTGGAAAAAGGTGCAGACCCCAATATTAAGAATACTCATGGTTCTACAGCTCTACACTTGGCTGCAGAGAGAGGATGTTTGGAAACAGTCAAGCTGTTGATCCAGCATGGGGCTGAACAAGAGGTTGTTGATGGAGAAGGGCTTACCCCACTGCAGAGAGCCTGCTGTGGATGCTATGATGAGGTTGTTGATTATCTCATTTCGCTTCCTAATTGCAGCAGGGAGGCCAGGATTGATGCACTGGACCTGCTTGCTGCCTCCCATGCAACAAGTATTGACACAGAGACTATAGAGTATCCCAGTGAAGGAGATGATGAGTATGATGATGATACTGATAACGCATCTATACAGCACGGATACCAACTCATGCTGAAAGCAATGAAGGAGCGCAACTCTCCTTCTAGCATCGCTAAGTCAGGGGTGAAATCCCCTTTAGCTGTGTATAACAGTCAAACAGAAAGCCAAACCATTGAAGAACTTGAGGCTCTGAGCTCCAACAATGAAGCCATTCAGATAGAAGGTTTCATCATCAGGGACAGAGTGCTTGGTGCCTTTCCATCAACTGAAATAATACAACCCCTTGTGAACAAAGCTGTGGTTTTAGCCCACAAAGGTAACCTGAAGCAGGCTAATTGCTTCTACTCCCGAGCTTTATCTTTTAAACTGGTGTCTTCACCCCAAAGTAGAGAGCTGTTCAGGCTATTCCTTGATCATGCAGCTGGTATGATTGAAAACCAAACAGAGTTGAAGATTGATGACATTGAGCCGGCATATCAGTTTCTAGTTGCTTGGCTCACCAATGTTGTACGAAGAAAAGAAGAGCAGCGAGGATCCCATTTTGAGGTTCAGGAATCTCAATGGGCCTTTGACCATGACATGCTGCAAGCCTTTTATTTCATTTGTATCCTGAGTAACATTGAAATTCACAGTGATGATGACAACCAAAGGAGGTCAGCCATGATTAAAGCAATACTAGATCTAAAGTTGTATAACTCCCAGGGTGCAGACATGTTTCATCTTGCAATCTGGGAAACAATCATTGAAGTTCACAACAAAGTCTCCTTGAAAGAAATATTCCATGTGCCTAACATGAAAGTTATGGAGACCTTGCTGCAGTGTGGTGCAGATATACATTCCAAAGACAAGGCTGGAAACACACCCCTCCACATTCTTGCTACAGTTGACCCAAAACTGGCCATTGTTCCAAACGACTTCAAAGAAAATGGAGGACAAAAGTATGTCAAATGGTTTCTTCAAAACGGTGCGGAAGCAGATGCACAAAACACAGCTGGAGAAAGACCAGTTGACTTGGCAGTGGCTGAAAACATTAAAGAATTTTTACAGTAACCATTAAATATTGATGAACTACTGTCAGGTATAATGAACAAGGTTAGAAAGACTGGGCAAATTTTAGTAGTTTAAATTGAATTATAATATTGGTGTTTTAATTTAGGGAAGTACCCATTCTTTGTGATTTTTTTAATACTTAAATGTTCACAGCTTTAGTCAAAGGGCTCTTGTTTTTCCCATGGAAAAAAATTAAAGTATTTGTATTGCTTACAATAAATTGAAATTTCTAGCCTGTGAACAATGACTAGTCTAGCTCCTTCTTCACAGCTGTTATTGGGGTCATCATGCAATGCTCCCCCTACTAACGTAGTGGGGAGGAGCATTGAGTTGCGTGATGATGCTAATAACAGGAGTGAAGGAGATTTAACAGTGAGTTGTTACTCATTAGTTACAAATATTATTTAGGGCTCGAAATTAATTTTTTGGATAACTTATAACCTTTTGGGTTAGTGACCAAATTATAAAGTTTTTTACTCAAGAACCTGTTCTCCAAGTTAGAATGTGTGAACTATTAAAGAAAATTGTGCTAATAAATGCGGCTAACTAATGTATGGATGGATTGGTTTAAATTAAATGACGATCTCTAAAATAAAGCATAACTGATTTAACGCTCAGGTGCATTTTCCTTTCGAACACGTCATGCAAGGGAGGGAAATTCAGGACAAACACTGCAAGAATTGTTTAACTACTTTAGCTTCATCAAACTGCAACTTGGTGAATGCCTGGGAAAGTTCCTCCTTCTTGTTTTTGCTTTTGTTTGTACCACTTCTGGGAGTTGTTTTTCTCGATCTTCCATTTCCTCTTCACAAATTTTGGGTTGTGACCTTTTTTCTGAAAAAACAGTCCAATACTAAGGATCTCTGCATCTGATCTTTATAATAAAATAGGTTGCACAAACAAGCCACTTCCGAAAGAAAACAATTGAAAGCAAACGTAAGATTATTTTGGTTGTGTCCAGATCTCCCCATCTAACAAAAGCCTGGTTACCTTGAGTTCTCGAAAGGTGTGTTTTTCGTGTTGTTTTATTTCGTTGTGAGCATATCTTTTAAAACAATGAATTGTTTGCAATAGAAAAGAAATCTTATGCAAAAAAGAAACACACCAGCGTTTCGTAATAATTAATATTAATTTTGCTTGTGAGAAGATTTTCTATGATGGTTCTGTTTGTGACCATTTCAGGTTACTTGGGCTCATAATTTTCTAGTAACCAAACGTTGGAAACTATTAACCGTTGGTTAACAGTTTACTGTTAATTTGAGCCCTGGTTTGACTTACTTACCATAACAGTATCTAGAATGTAGGTCCTACTTGTAGTGTCATTATAGAAGGAGCAAAAGTGTCAGACTCACAAATCAGTGGTCCTGGGTTGTGGTGCAACATTAAATTTTGATATAACAAAGGGTTAATATATGTTCACTATAACAAGGTTTTTTTTATATCAAGTTTCTTTTCCATAATAGACTCTGCTATTACTGAGTCAAAGAATATTATTATTGTTACTGAGGACTTCATAATATAGAAGTTTGTAATCTCAAGGGTTCATTTAATAGCCAACTGGTTGATGCCTGCAAGTTGGTATTTTTAATTTTGTCATGTTATATTTGTATTATTCTATTTGTGTTTCTGCTAATAATTTGTTGGTGATTATTTGAGCGCACTGCCTTTTAAACTAGCTAGAGCATGCTGCGAGATGCACTTCTTGTTTAATTGTCCTCTGTCAGAGCTCCATGATAAAGAATAAAAATCGCTGTGTACATACACAACCTCTTGGCAGTTCTGTACCCACCCGGCGAGCAGAGCTGCCTTTTGTCTGTTTGAGTGAGGAGGAGAAAGGAAGGATCTGCCTGAACTGTGTCAAGCCTAACTGAAGTCACCGCAGCCTGAACTTTCAGAACAGTCAGCCTCGTTTTCTCTAGTCAAACTAGTTTTTCCTGAGTGCGAGCGTATGTATGACCGCCCCGCCCCCCTCCCCCTCAAGGTCTTATCTGCTTATCTCAAGGTCTGGATCCGGCACTGTACTTGCGCTTGCAGAGGTAAACACTCTTTCCTCCGCGGAGGCTCCTGGGTAGCCCTATAACGATAGCAACAATCGAAAAAGTAGAAAGTGCGCGGGGGACTCGTTCCCCGCGCGCTTTTCTTTTTCTTTCTCCCCAGCCTCCCCATGACAAAGAGGCCTCTGCGGAGGAGAGAGGAGGTAACGGTATTTACTTGAATGAGCGCTGCTGCGCGTATTGAATTTTCCGTTCCTCAAATGTGGGTCTCATTCGACGGCGGCGTTTATTTACTTGGACGCGAGAAAGAATTTTTTCTTTTAGTTAGCGTGCTTCGCTTGGTTAACACATGCATCAAAAAAAAAATGTGTGGCTTTATTCAGATCTTGGGAAAATAAAATAGGAGGGCCATGGTGTAGCATAAATCTCGCATCGTTTTCCACCCCAATAAATGTAACAAACATAAGTGATAATGGAATAGTTTCTTAAAAGTAGCGCAGGAACAGTAGTTCACATGGACTGTGATAAGGTAAGCAGGTAAGGGTAAGGGTTAGAGATCCAACAAACTCAACCCACATATTATAGATAGCCTTGAAATATTCTCTACACGAGTATTCTCGTAAGAGAAGAGCTGAAAGGATTGAAGTCGCTGGAAATCGTTAAGACCCTACCAGAACACTGACGATTGACTCTCGGGGCCGTTATATGTCTCATCAAAAGAACGCACACTGATTTTATTCTGTTATCATGTATGAAGGTGCAGCATTTATGGGCTGGTGAAATAAATTTTTACATGCCCACAATGTACTATGAAATGCTAAAAAACTATATATTATTAGCAAATGAAGTGCACACAGACAATTTCATTGTAGTTTTTCACTCAATTTTAATATTGAACTCGATGCAGAAAAAAAAAATTAATAAATAATTCCAACAAAAACTGTATACAAACGTCACAAATCTACGTTTTAGGGTAGGGTTTGGCGAGGCTGTCAAGACTACAACGGCGAGATGGAAGATCAGTAAGGTTTGTAATGCTGTAACCGCATTCCGTTCATTATGTTCCAAGTAAATGAAGCGTAATGAATACAGAGAACTATTCCTTTTAATTTGAAATAGCCGGTACAGGTCACAAACTGAACAGTTAAACGTCTCATAGTTTAACTTTTCTAATTACGTAATTTCAAAGGAGTCTTTCGAGTAACGGTCGTTTCACTAACGACTTAGGTCATTTCGCTGTTCTTCGACACGTAATTAAGGGTCAGATGAACAAAGACTTTGAAACTTCGTTTTACACTGAAGGGAACCGAGAAGTGAAATATTTTAAAAACATGTATACATTATGATTAAATAAATGAAATAAACAAAATGGTGCCGTGTCCACACCTTCTATGTAGTTTCTTCATTTCGCCCTGTCAGACGCCATTTTGAAACATGAGCTTAGCAGCCAGTGCAAAGCAGTGGACTGTCCCAAAACTCAGTAACAAAATCGGTGTTCACACAGGGACCCAGTGCCCTCTTTCGTGACCGAGTACCAGGTTGAAATTTTGTATTCGGGCACACGCACCTTGCTCGAATTCTAGTGTGCGTACTTGAAAAAACGGCGCGTTCAGACTAGTGCCAGGCGAGTACCGTACTAAGTCTGAACGCTGCCTCGAGAAACAGATCACATGAGTGCAATAACAAAATTTCTAACTCGTCTGTCTCTATGATAAAGTATATAAATATTATTGCTAGAAAGATTAAGCGTCTCAAGTTTTAAACTAGAATGGCTTTTATAGAGAGGTATTAACTGTATTGATGCTGGTAAGTTTCCAAAGTAAAAATTATTGGTCCTCGACCTAAGGATTAGCAACAATCTCTGGACTTGGATTTGCCAGCTATACACACTTTTTTGTACCTCACAGAATTTTCCCCGACATTTTCTTTTCTATTTCAATTTTATTATATATTTTACATGTATATTTTGCCGGCAAATCTGAGGCGGGTGCGAACGACAGCCTCCGCGCATTTGCTTGACTATTCACAGTCTCTCGATTTTCTGAACGCGAACTAAAGGAAGACAACAAGCAACGAGGGATGATCACGCGAGCGGGCGCGGGGGGGGGAACAGTTGATACTCAAGTCAATTCACGTGTTCATGAAAAAACGAAATACGAGAAAACATACCGCTGTGAACAGTCTGTGCAATTACAATTCCATTTAGAGATAAAAACAAGAATAAATATGGTATCCCTTACTTTTCTCTAGATATATACTGACTGAAGTAGTTTATATGAATAGCGTTAACTGAGTTAACTACAATATTATTAGCAAACAAAACTAACTGACTGACCGCTTATGTTTCATTCACACCAACTAAACATGTTTAATAAAAACTAGGTTGTAAAATGTGAAAAACAGCAACAGATAACGAAAACAAGGGCTTTTACATAGCATTCAAATAAACTTTAACTCGTTATGTAATTGCCCTAAATTTGCAATCGAAAAACGCACAGAAGGTAGCTTATATAAAGAAAACAAATTTAAACCGTCTTTAACTAAACACCTTTTAAACATGTTTAAGCTCTGGTGTGAGTGGGGCTTTAGAATTCTCTCTTGCTTAACGTTAACTACGATGTGATTGGGAAACAAAAATAATATATACTACAACCAAGCAAAATATTTCGTTACATTTTAGACTGTTCTTTTTCTAGTGTTTGCAGTTCAAATTCGGTCATAATCATCCTATGATCTGATAATGTGAAATCTTTCGGCCATTCCTAAAACAAAAAGAAAACATAAGCAAGTGAATAAAAACTAAAGCTTCACAGTAAAATTCTACCAATGGTACAGTATTCAAATCCTACATTTTGATTGGACCCTCCGGCGTCTATTCTACCTATCAGGTAACAGATAGCAAGTGGAAGAAAACCGTTTTTTTTTAGAAATACATGTTAAAACTTCTTGAAAACTGCTCTTATATATTTGCAAACGAATACCTCTGGCCCCAGTTGTTCAAATGGT